TTTAAATAAACACTTTGGCCTTTAGATACTGAGTTGAAAAAACAAAACAAAACAAAACACTTTGGCCATTGAGATACTGAGTTGGAAAAAAAAAAAAACCTGCAGATATTCCTGGTTGAGATGGGCTGGGAATGTGAATAGAGAGGAGCCATGAAAAGGTGATGAAAAACATGTAGAGTTGAATATCATCATCTCAAGTGTAAGCCCTGGCAAACTAAACTAAAGCTAGGATGAAAGAGAGGTAGAGAGAAAAGAGAAAACAAAAGCTTAGCCTACCATTTTTTCAGCATTAAGACACCGTAAATTCTGAATGCTGTATGTAGTATAGTCATATGAACTGGGTATTTTTTAAATGTGTCTTATTCATAGGTATGTGATATTTATGTGTATGATTGTATGTGATGATATGTGTTAGACCATAGATATACTGAAAGTTTCTGAGCAACATTTTATGAACCATGGCTTTCTCATTTATGTGAAAATAGTAGCCACAGTCCACGGAGGGTCTGGTTTACCCTGAAACAGGACTTGTGCTGCAGGGTGATAGACTGTGCTCTTGACGGATCTCTGGCTGCACGAGGGATTTGGAGCTTTCGGGTTTTCCAGAATTTCTGTTATAAATGTTCTTTTTCACAGTCAGAAGACAATTGATTTTGTGGGAAGAGGGCAGTCCAACACAGGACCCATAAATACACCTCCCTCTAGTGAGCTGAGTAATAACAGCTTACGTCAGCCAGGCACACTAGCGGCTAGGCCTGAGTCAGTGTGCTGGAATCACACATTTCTCTCCAACTTCTCCTCCTCACTACTGCAGCTCTACGATAGTCCGTGAAGTCATCCACAGTGCCTTTTGAGGGGGAGGTGATCTTGTATGGCCTAGAGGGGCCATGGGGAGAATCAAGAACAGGAGGGCAGGCCAGGGAAGGACTTTACTGCCTGACTGTGTTCTGATTTCTCTTGTATAGGAGAAGAAAGTGAGATGTCATTCAGCAAACCGATGTGTAATTGAATCTAACTCCCAAATGATAAGGGAAAAGCCTGAGATTTGGAGAAAATTTGAACTCATTTAGATTTTAGCCAAGGGGCTAGCATATTAAGTTTGCATTTTAATAAACTGAGTTTGGTTTCAGTATGGAGAACAGACTGGAGAAGGAGCTCTGAAGGCAGGGCAACTGGCCATTTAGGGAAAAAAGAAAAGAGATGAGGAAAGCCTAGATTAAAGTGCTAGAGTTATGGGATGAAAAGAAATAGATTTAGGATACAGAGGCTAAGATTTTAGAACTGCGATAAGAGGCAAATGTGAGAAAAGGAGGAAGAGGACCCAGGTTTCTCATTTTGATGACTGGGTGGAGAACGATGCCATGAACTGTGAGGAGAAGTATAGCAGCAGGAGAGATGACAGCATTTGGACACAGCTTAAAAATATTTAATAGAGCCAAGGAAAAACATCTCTGCTAGGATTAATGCAGCTCAGGAAGTAGACAAACTTACTAGTGATCTTAATTGACATAAGGACAGAATTTAGAATACCTGGAGGAGTAGATAATGGCACGTCCCTTCTTCTCCTGTGACTTCAGTCGGCCTTGATGAAAATTGAAATGAAGAAGTCGAGTTTAAATGTTGGAGCGTTGTTCTCAGTTGCTGTTTTCCTGGCACAGTCCTGAGATGTGGACCAAATTTGAGTCTACCTGTGAAGTCAGCTGTACTCCTGGGGGTTTTTTTGTTTTTTGTTTTCGTTTGTTTATTTTGAGACAGGGTCTCGCTGTGTTGCCTGGGCTAGAGTGCAGTGGTGTCGTCGTAGCTCACTGCAGCCTCAAACTCCTGGGCTCAAGCGATCCTCCTGCGTCAGCCTCCCCAGTAGCTGGGACTACAGGCATGTGCCACCATGCCTGGCTAATTTTTCTATTTTTCTAGAGATAAGATCTCATTATGTTGCTCAGGCTGATCTTGAACTCCTGGCTTCAAGTGATCCTCCTGCTTTGGCCTCCCAAAGTGCTAGGATTATAGGCATGAGCCACCGTATCTAGCCAGTCCTAGGGTTTTGATATCCCTCAGCATCCCCTTGACATGACAATTTTGTGTCATTGAAATACATCCTCCCAGTTAATAGAACTATGTTAATAATACTCCATATCTAGTTCTGTTCCTTTCTTGGTGGGCTACTCAGCCGTCGAAGCCTTAGTCCATCACCTGTTTATTCTCAGAGCTCCTCATGCTTCTGGAGCTGGGGAAAAAGTTAGCCTTCTGGAGAAAACCTCATTACCTTGTCATTTAGAGTGCAGTTTCTGGAGCTGGCCAGATCTGTGCTCTCAAATTCTGGCTCTGCCACTGACCAGGTGTGTTACCCTGGACCTGTAGTCTTAAATAATTCCTCATCTGTAAAATGGGGATAATAGTGTAGTTATCTCTTACAGACAGTGAGTTTTATTAAACAGTGCATATAAAGCATTTATTATCATTTTTGGTCTGTAATAAGTATCCAGTAGATATTGCCTTTCATTTGATACCTTTAGTTGTATACCTGTAGATTAACTCTGTAAAATTTATCTTTTGGGGATCGTGTATTGCCTGAAGTTAGTAACCATTGATATGTTTTCATGTGCTTGCAGGAATTTGGAACTGTAATATTCTTAGTGCCATAAAATTTAAGTAGCCACCTACTTATTTTTGATAAATCAGGAAATCTGGGCATGTTTAATGTTTTTAATTATTTGGGTTTTTTTGTGTGATTTTTTAAAAATATGTGTGGCAAAAATAGTTTCTGAATAAACAAATGAGCCGACATTATTTTGGCTAAAACTAAATTTTTGATAATGTTAAATATGAGGAAGGATGAAGATACTTATTTCACCTAGGAATAAGCAAAAATACAAAATATTTTGAAGATTGTTATCTTCTAGATATATTTTTATTTTATTTTTAGCTACCATTTTAATACTGAAATCAGTATAAAAAATTAGGGTTCATGTTTTCTGATTGAGTCTTCATGTCTATTCTCAAAATCACATTCTTTGGAAGGCTGAGGCAGGCGGATCTCTTGAGGCCAGGAATTCAAGACTAGCCTGGGCAATAGAGAGACCCCATCTCTACAAAAAATACAAAAATTAGTTAATAGTATGTATTAGTTAATAGTGGGTGTTATGGCATATGCCTGTAGTTCCAGCCACTCAGGAGCCTGAGGCTGGAGAATCACTTTAGCCCAGGAGTTTGATGGTAGCAGAGAGTTATGATCCCACCACTGTACTCTAGCCTGGGTGACAGAGCAAGACCCTGTCTCCAAAAAAAAATAAAAAAAAATCACATGAGTCCATGTGTAATTGAATATGAATTTACAGGAGCACATGGGAAGTAAGATTTTATTTCTAATTAGATTTTTTTCACAATTTGGAATGGTTAGTGAAATTAGATGAGAAGCTGATGTGTTACCTGGCAAGAACCTCAATTTTCTAGGTCAAAATATGTTTGACATTCTAACTCAGACTGATGTTTCCATTAAATATATCAACTTGAGCATTAGTCCTTAGTTGTCTGTGAAGTATGGAAGTGTGGAAATCTCTTGGTTAGCCTATAGCTTCATCTACATGATTAATCTACTATGATTATTTAAAGTTGTCAGGAATCGTTTATTTCGTTAACTGAATATGGATAGACCCCCCAAACAGTTTTTTGTGTGTGTTTGATTTCATACAAATGCAATCATTTGTTAGATTACAACTTTTTCTTGAGTAGAAGCTTCCTTGTTTGATAATTCTTATTCATAGCTGCAGATGATTTCTGTGTATGCTGAACTAAGAATCAGAAGAAAGCTATAGTCCTAACTATGCTACCTGGAACAGTTCTCTTTGCTCTCTCTAACCACAAAAAGTTTTTGTCCTCTGTGTAGAGAGGGTTGTTATGAGGATCAAATGAAGTAAAGTAAGTGAAAACACTTTGGATATTCAAGCATGATATGGATGTAAAGTGAAAATCAGCAAGAAAAAATCAAACAACCCTATCAAAAAGTGGGCAAAGGACATGAACAGAAACTTTTCAAAAGAAAGTAGACTAATGGCTGACATATGAAAAAATGCTCAACATCTCTAATCATCAGGGAAATGCAAATCAAAGCCACAATGAGATATCACTTATCCCCAATGAGAATGGCCTTTATCAGAAAGTCCCAAAACACTAGATGTTGGCGTAGATACGGAGAAATACGAACACTCATACACTGCTGGTGGGATTGCAAACTAGTACAACCTCTGTAGAAAGCAATATGGAGACACCTCAAAGAGATACAAGTAGAACTACCATTTGATCCAGCAATACCATTACTGGGCATCTACCCAAAAGAACAAAAGATAATCTATAAAAAAGACACCTGCACTCGAATGTTTATAGCGGCACAATTCACAATTGCAAAGATGTGGAAACAACCCAAGCGCCTATCAATACATGAGTGGATGAATAAAATGTGGTATATGTATACCATGGAGTACTATTCAGCTTTAAGAAACAATGGTGATATAGCACCTTTTGTATTTTCCTGGATAGAGCTGGAACCCATTCTACTTAGTGAAGTATCCCAAGAATGGAAAAACAAGCACCACACGTACTTACCATCATGTTGGTATTAACTTATCAATACTTAAGTGCATATATAGTAATACCATTCATCAGGTGTTGGGTAGATGGGGGGGAGGAAAAAATGGGCACATACACACCTAATGGATGTGGCGCACACCGTCTGGGGTATGGACATGCTTGAAGCTCTGACAACCTAAATGTTTGTACCCCTGTAATATGCTGAAATAATAATAATAAAAAAACAAGTACATTCAAAAATCAATATGAAACAAACAAACAAAAAAAAATGATTGTGTATTTCTAATTCAAGTACTAAAGAAACAGATGTGTACCAGAGAGTAAGATTTTGCTTAGAGTAAATGAATGCTTTGGTTGCAAGCTAACTAAAGAAACAACTCTAATATCTTTGTGTTTTGTATTTTCCAACCAAACAGAACCGGGACCAGTATTCACATCTACTGAGTGATCATTTTCTACCATATCAAGGTCATAATTCCTTCCGTGAGAAATATTTTAGTGGAGTAACAAAAAGAATTGCCAAGGAAGAAAAATCCAGCCAGGAATGAAAATTAAGATTTTGACAATGAAGAAAGAATAAGGATTTGATAGAAAAAACATCTGGATGTTAACTTTCATGTATGATCCAGAAAACATGTACTGTTTTAAAAAATTTTACATAAAAAAATAAATGCTACAGAGTAAATTGAGCAATTCTTTTAAAGTTATCTTCGTTTTATAAACTATTTTGTTATATGTGTTATAAAGTTTTTTGAACCTTATTTAATTTATATTTGTACTTTCAAGTATTAATGGGGATCGACTCAAACAGTTGTATTTTTTACAAATAATCTACCACAGGAATTAATATTGTTGACTTTTTAAACATATCTGCTGAATATGCTATAAGCAATTAATAATGGTTAAGAATTTATTCATTAGGTAGATTTGTTTCATTTGGCCTTTGATTGTACTTGATTTACTTTGCCACTAATAAACCTCATTGAGAATTTCTAAAATCGTGTAGTATTTAGTGCTTTATTGGGGGGATGTGAAGAGGGAAATGGATTTTTATTTTGAAATTGCGGACAAGGAAGTAATAATGGTAATGGTGATGATCGGAAAGGTGAAGACCTGACGACCTAAAAGGTTCCAAACTCCTTAAGGCCTGTCCACATCTGAAGCTCGTCTGTACCTTGGATTGGCTCCTGCATTCCTAAACCTTGACTGTTGCTCAACTTAACTACCCACAATTTTTGGTTTAGAAAGTAACTGATAGTTAAAAGCAGTAACAACAACACAAAACCTTGATGGTTCCCTAATGATGTTAAGCCTAATCAGTGCTCTTTGAAATAGAAGCTATATTTTTCTTGAAGGAGAAACTTTGCTGAGTCCACATTGTGTCCATCATGAAAATATCTTGTTTGAAAACCGCCATACCCATTAATTCAGGATGCTAATAGCTTTCCTGCCTTCCGTGGTCAAATGTACCTCAGCAGGGTGGCAGTAAACGGATCCTCTCTAACCAGAGCCTATTTTATTTATGTTATTATTATTATTTTAGTGTTACCGCTGATTTTTATGGACTCACAATATTAACGTGCATGGCTTAGCACCTCCAAAAGCCCAGTGCTGCCCAAGCAAAGAGGTATCAGGCTATCTGCTTCCTTCTCTCTCCTTTTCTTGTCTTGCAGCCCTGGATTTCAGCAGCAGAACTCAAACATTTCAGTGATTATTTTGTTTGGGTTTCTGGATGTGATTTGTGGTACAATGGGGAAAATCTAAAAGTATTCAAGGGTGATTTATTTTCAGTATTTCTGTTATAAACCATTTATTTAAAATTTTCTGAGGTTATATGGGGGGTAAATTTGAAACTTTATATCTGACTCGATTTGGAATATGAGAGCTTAGCCCCCTTTTTGGGTTGTCACAAAAATTAGTCCAAATAATTCTGGAAAGTTGCAACATTAATTTTAGTCACTTTGTCCTCAACAATTATCTAATGCTTTAAAAACAATTTCAAATTATTTCTTATTACTACTAGTTGAGGTCTTCTAAACTTTAATTCTTCTTATTGTGAGGCTTATTTTCATATTTAGCAGTAAGTTCACTTTCCCATTCCTGAAATGGCACTAGGCTCAGAGTGTAAATTTGTGTAGTTATTTTAAAGTTGTTAATCAGAAATGAAAAAGAAACCTGATCACTTTCAACTAATTTTGATTTGAGAGCATAGGTCTCAAGCCCTCTTATTTTAAAAAGCGAGACTTTCTTTTCTGGCGGTGGGATCTTATTACTTTCTGCATAAGTTACAGCAGATCATTTCCAGGAGTGCTTTAGTTTTATGTGTTACTGCTGTATTCCTCATGCACTTACCAGCAGGAATACCACCCAGTCCTAGCAAAATGTCTGCATGTCAGATAGTCCTGTAGTTTGAATTTACAGTGTCATCAGTGAGGGAACCCTCGGTGGTCTGTGGACTGGCTTATTTAATGTTTATAATATGACAAAATCTATAATTTTGTTTCTGGTATATATTAAATATCCATAAAATCCAGACGGTTACCTTAATGGTGTTTCATTGAAGTGTTCCTTCCTATCCGTTCTGGTGAGTATTTTTTTGCTGTGATAGCTGGGAGGGAAGAGTGGAGTAGGTGGTCTTTGGTGTGTTTAGCCAAAGTGGCCAGCAGATTTTTAAAAAATTGAAAACCTGCTACAATTTTCTCAGCCACTTCCTGCCCAGGGTGACCCAGCTTCGGGCCGGCTTGCCACCAACTTCCTTATGACTAACTTTTTAAATACAAGGATTGAGCGATAAAACATTTTCAAACTATTTTAAGCTCTGGGAGGTAAGTCAGTGTTGCCACTGTTTCCTTGTTGAGAAAAGGCACTCAAATATTGAGATTCCCTACATATTTGAGAAGAATGATGATTATAACTAAAAAACTTATTTCAAGTTTGGTAAAGGCAAGTAGAGTGTGAGTTAACATCACTGGATGCATTGCAGTGAGTGTGTTTATTTTATTGGGTTAAAAAATGTGCTTTAAAAGTTTGAGACATGGAAATAGCATTTAAGGTAATATATTTTATGCTCATAAATTAAAGAAGCAGAGAGTTGACTTTTTTTTAACATCAGGAAATTAGATGTTAAGGTTTTGTTATCTAGATGCCAATATAAGCAAATCTGGCTCTTAAATAAAAGGTCTTAGTCATTTGGTGTTACAAGAACTGCTGACATCTTAGGCTGGAAATATTATCAAGTATTGCTTATCCAAAGAGATATGGAATAAAACATAATGTTTCTTTGTTGAAAATTGAAGGTGACTTTTTGAGACATGATCTTTCCATACCATTTTAATAAATCTCCCTTGAAAAAGCATAATGGAACTAAGTTGATGTTAATAGTTCTAATAGGAAAAAAAAATCCTTTGTAGATAAAACAGGGCATAAATAAATTCATTAATGCAGTGTAAGGGTGGGAATGGAGGTGGGTGTTGCCAAGGAAATTGATGGCCTTATTGTTGATCTGTTTGACCAAAAGAGAATAAATTATTCCAAAATAAGAACCTTGGCTCTTTTTGCAAGAATATGGTCCTGCTCTATTATAAAGTTATTTAGCAAACTAAACATTTGCAAGAATCTTTTTTCTTAGAAGGATTGTATTCATAGAATAAGTGCAGTCTACTTTCATTTCCAACTCACACACTCCCATTTTTCTCAGATATTTATCAAGTAATGTGGTTTATAATCCAAACAAAAAAAAGTGCCTTAATCCAGAACATACACATGGACACAATAACACTAGACTGATGGTGTCTGTACTTTACTAAAACATCGAGATCTTCTCTAAAACAGAGTGGTTTGAGGACATAAGGTCTAGAGTGTAAAGAATTACAATGGAATGATAAACACATCCATGATTCTATCTAGCCATAGAATCATAGAGACAGCACATTCCTGTCTATCCTTTGGGGTGAAAAAACTTACTAGGAACGTGACCCTATTCCTTTAAAAGAGGTCTGCCTCAGGATGTTCATATGTTTCACTGTGTGGGATAAGCAAATTGACATTTAGACATAACTGAGTCCAACCTAGAATTTGGCTCTTATCCCTTCCTTTATAAGCCATTGTAGACAGGCTCTTATGGGTTGGAGGTTTAATTGTCATGGCAGTCTCTTAAGAAGCCTGAGTCATGGAACAAAATGGGGCTTACTAGATGAATGTTAAAATAAGCCAGCTTCCCTTCTGTAACTGCTAGCCCCATTTCTTGGGATATTAGGATGTGCTTAGTACATTTTTGTCCTCGAATTTGAAAGTTCTTACTAAGATAATCATGTCACGGTCATGCCAAACTGAATTGCCCAAAAAGGAATCTGCTTTGACCTCTATGACTTTAAAATCTTTCCTTTAATCAAGCCCCCCCTGACTCTGGAGGATTTATCAGAAGAACTTGATTTTGGCTAACATTCAGCAGTGAAGATTAGCTGGACTTATGTGTGAAGTTAGTCAAATTAAAAGAAAAGAAAAAAAGGCTGAGGAGAAAATTAAAACTAAAATGTAAATGATACTTATGATATCAGAGTTGTGCTTTGATGGATTGCCAAAATATTTTATCTAATGTGTTGTAAGTTGGTGAAGTGGATCAAGATGGTCAGAGTTGTTATTGGGAAGTTTTAAAAATCTGTTAAGAGTCCCTTAATATTTGTGTATAAATCATGGACTATTTCAACACAAATCTGAGTTATTCTAGCACAAACAGTAAAACTTCTTGTGCATTTTTTCATTTTTTTTTTTTTTTTTTACAATTTATATCCATTGAGAAGCCATTATCCATAGATCTCTTGCATTTCTCTATGTCTTTCTAATCGAGGCACTAGACTTCCTTTGTCCTGGACTGTCTTTTTGAGGATGTTTGTATAGTGAGCAACCTTGGAAAATAGAGATAGTATCTTCTCCTCCCTTATCTCCCCCTCCCCCTCTACTCCAGAGCACAGGTCAAGTTGGCATACTGCCTTGGAAAATGTTGTCTTACCTCCAGAGTAAAAGGCATGCTTACTGCCCATTATAAAAGATTCGGATTCCCTAAGCTCAAGGTTTCTTCCACGTAATGCAACCCACTGTATGTGCAGGCACCCATCTAGGCCTATCCAGGTCACTCCTCTGGGACTTGGGTATAAGGAAGAACTGATTAAAAATATGCTGATTCTCATGCTGCTTGCTGTACCATGAATAATAAAGTTCTTTGTATTATATGTGACCCAGGAGTCTTATGTCTTCTAGTGTCCATGAAAGTGGCAGGATTTTGCCATAGAGCAAAATCTCAGACCCTTCACAGTTCCTGACAGTTTTTGGTAATGAGCATGCGATGCTGACAGAGACATGGCTTTCTGGAAGAGGTTGAGGGCTTTGTGGCCCATTAACAGGATTTAAAAGAAGTTCATAGGAATTTTTAGCAAACGTGTTGACCAAATTTCAAGGTCTGCCTTATGATACATGGTCCTCAACTTTATTGCCTGTTAATGAGGAGCAAACAAGGCAATGGTTGCAGGCCAAGTCTCAGGAAGATAGGTCCAGAGAGGGCTACCAAATG